ATGATTCCAGGCCTCTGAAGTTTGCAGACATCACGTGTTCCTGGCACGGAGGCCTCCCATCCACTCCTGGCTCTGGGCTGGCAGGCTGCTCTAGAGAGCAGAGCACACAGCAAGCAGGGTCCACCTGCAGGACAGTAGTGCCCTGCAGTGCCAGAGCCAGGCCCAGGTCTACCTGCAAGGGACCTCAGAAGCCCTCTCTGCCCCAGACTCTACCCTAACATGGCTTCTTTCCACCCCTAGGCACCTGTGAGGTGAGGGGAAAGGGGAAAGCTCCGTCCAGATGTTATTAGCCAGGGCCTCAGGGTGCTGATGCTGTATTAGTGACTCAGTCCCGACTGCAGGACCCACCTAAGACTCTAGTCTCTATGTAGGCACCACAGCCAGTGTCCCCTAACGCTGCCTCCATCAACAAGGGCCTCCGGTGGGGACAGGAATGTGCCCTTTTTTTTCCTTAAGAGAAAGAAGGTCATGGGTAGAAACTGGTCCATACATGGCTGGGGGATGGCTCTGTTGGTATAGTATTTGCTTCATGAGCACGAGGGCATGGGTTTGAATCCCCAGCACCTGTAAGAAAGATGGATGCAGCTGTGTGTACCTGTAACCCTGGTGCTAGGAGGGTAGAGCCAGGAGGATCCTTGGGGCTTGTTGACCACAGTCTAGCCAAACTGGTGAGCTAGAGACCTATCTCCAAACAAACAAGCAACAAGAAGGAAACTGGAGAGACGGCTCAGCGGGTAAAGGTCCTGGCTGCACAAGCCTGGATGCCCGAGTTCAAGCACAGAACCGTATAAAGGTGGAAGGAGAGAACCATCTCCTAAAATATTCCTCTGACGTTTGCGTGTGCATCATAGCAGGCATGCACACACACGATGATCATCGAGATAAACTTTGTAAAAATTTAAAAAGTGAAGTAGAGACGGATTAAGGAAGATGCCCAGCTTCAAGCTCTGACCCCCACACATGTGTACACATGGACAGACAGACAGACAGACAGACAGACACACACACACACACACACACACACACACACACACACACACACACAGAGAGAGAGAGAGAGAGAGAGAGAGAGAGAGAGAGAGAGAGAGAGAGAGAGAGAGAGAGAAAGAAGCTAACACTCTACCCAAATGGAATCTGCAGAACTTGGTGTGATGGTGTGGTGGTACCACGGAGACGGCATGACAGGACAATGTCATGGTTGGTGGCACAGTGACATGATGAGGACATGCTGGTGACGGGGGGAGAAGGGCCTGAGAGTCAGATTTAGTCAGCACCACCACCCCACTGCCCAGGGCGGCTCTGCTGCTTCAGCTGAGGCAGATCTTAGCAAGCCACCCAGGAAGCGCTGTCCCGGGGTGGGCTCCCCTCAGGCCTGCCTTCCCTCCAGTTCCTGGTGCCTGGGCCTTCCCAGGCTGAGGCTCCGGGGCTTCTGCCTACAGCTGTCCCTCCTGAGAGGCGTGCCCACCCCCTTCCAGCCTATGAGGAGGGCTCCAGCACACCCTCGAGGGGTCCCCTTGAGCTTAGAAAGCTTCTTAGCTAAAACCTTGCAAGGACAGCTACACCCATGGAGGGGGCTTCAAAGCTCAGGGGCTCACAACCGTAGAGAGGGGAATCTAGAGGTGGTCCCCTAGACTAAAGACACATGCAGGCAGCTGCCTGGAGTCCGCCCTTTCCTGCTGGCCGTGTGCCGGTGAGTGGCCACCCTAGCTGTGAGCTGTAGTTACTGCAGTCTGACAGTGGCACACAGATCCAACCTCTAGGGCTGTGTGAAGGTGGAGTCAGTACCCGTAATCCTAGCAGCTGGGAGGTGGACGCAGGAAGAGCAGTAGTTGAGGCTGGCTTTCCTAGGTACTGGGATCCAAGCTAGCCCGGGTTATATGCAGCTCAGGTGGTAGATTGATGGCCTAGCATGCACGAGGCCCTGAGTCTGAGCCCCAGGACTGCACAAACAGGGCACGGTGGCACACGCACAAATGTCAGCACTCGGGAGGGAGAGGCAAGATGAGTCAGATGTTCAAAGTCAATTTTAGCTACACAGCTAGTTGGAGGCCAACCTGGGATACGTGAGACCCTGTCTCAAAAAAAAAAAAAAAAAAAAAAAAAAAAAAAAAGACCAAAATGTTAAATAAATCAAATTTTCAATAGATAAATGTAACATATAAATCATTAATACACAAGTTAAATTTGTAATGAGGAATTTATGTAATTCAAAGCACACACACACCCATGAAATACAGTTTCATTTACAAGATAAAAAAGAACTCTTTGCAGTAGGGTCACCTAGCAGAAGTGTCTGAGGCCAGGGACCAAAATGAGCACTGAGTCAAAGGAAGATCAGCCCGAGACCCAGTAAGGTCTGTGATCCAGCCAGACCAAATTTACCTGTCTCAGAAGATGCCAGTTACCAAAACAAAAAACCTCCTTAAAAGCAATTTGGTAATCAAGCCACCCCCAACGGCTGACCTCGGATGATCCTGGCCTCTTCCTCCTTCCGAGGCTCTGTCTTAGGATGTTGCCTTCCCCCCACAGGGCCTTTCTCGAAGACTCAGAGCCAAGGCCTGCCCCCCCACAAGGCAGGAGCCTCTAGTTCCCCGAAGGACTCAAGAGCAAACATTTAGACTCTCTTAGTTTGCCCAACTGTACCAAGGCCTTTGCTCTGGAGATAGAGCTGTGTACACAGCAGTCACATGAGGCTCTCCTCTCACCCCTGGGGCTGGTGGGGGCTGAAAGAGGACCTGGAGGGGTCTGGAGTCCCCCACAGGGTGGCATCTGGAAGGCCCTAGCAATGCAGAGGCCAGGAGAGCCTGTGAAACCCCTGAGAAATGTGTGAACACGCAGTCTTGTCTGCAGAATTCACCAACTGTGTGTGTGTGTGTGTGTGTGTGTGTGTGTGTGTGTGTGTGTGTGTGTGTGTGTGTGGCGCAGGGGGGCGGGCTGGTACCTCGTGACTGTTTGGCACATGTTCATGGACATGTTCCAGGGCGAAGGAATAACACAGGACAGAAGGTGCCCTGACATTCCTCAGGTACAGGGGAGTCACATAAACAAGTCACTTGTCACAAAGGTGCCCAAGGAGTGGAAGGAACACAGAGCAGATCTAGGCCCAGCCGGAGTGCCAGAGACTTCCTGGGAGTCTAAACAGAGGCTGCAGACCTCGAAGGAGTGTGTGCGAGTGTGTGTTGGAGGTGTCAGAATTCCAGAAATCAGAGTGAGTGTGCACAGAGTCCAGAAAATAGGCTTTCTGGGTATGGTTGTTGTGGAGTGACTCTGTAGCCTGATCACAGGCCCATGTAATGTTCCAGTTAGGACATGACATATAAGCCAAGCTGAAGAACTCTAGGGGCAGCCCTGGCTGCATCCTTGAGAGGTCCACGGGCTCAGATGTACAACTAGGAAGCTGGACAGGTTATACGACACTGTAAACATCACAGAGCTGTGACCTTTGAGAAGGACCCATGGCATGTCGGCCTTCTGCCTAGAAGCAGCCTGCACAAACTCTGACACACGCACGCACGCACGCACGCACGCACGCGTGCACAGAGAGAGAGGGGAAGGAGAGAGGGAGGAAAGACAGAAGACAGAGAAGCTGTGGGAAAACAGAGAAACAGAGGGTAGGGTTCAGGGTCACAGACAGGGCTAGAGTACGTTCGGCTCTTGAGAGGAGAAAGTTGAACAGGTGAGGCGCTCCAGAAAGTTCCACAGCGTTTCTGAGGGTCCAGTAAATAATAGCCCGCACCTGTGCAGGGGGCCATCCCACAAAGCTTGGCAGTGAGCTGTGGAAGCTGGGGGCACAGGGGAGGCCCAGGAGGCCCAGGTGTGGAGACCGAATCCGTTATTTTTCCCACGGCCGTGACAAAATACTTGAGAAAAGCAGCCTTCAGAAGGATTTGCCTGTCTGGCTCCCAGTTTGAGGGTGCACAGTTGTGCTGGCTGGTTTTATGTCGACTTGACACAAGCTTGAGTCATCTGAAAGGAGGGAAACTCGTTTGAGATAATGCCTCCATAAGATACAGCTGTACGGCATTTTCTTAATTAGTGATTGATGGGGAGGGCCCAGCCCATTGTAGGTGGTGCCATCCCTGGGCTGCTGGTCCTGAGTTCTAAAAGCAAGCCAGTAAGTAGCACCCCACCATGACCTCTGCATCAGCTCCTGCCTCCAGGTTCCTGCCCTGCTTGAGTTCCTGTCCTGACTTCCTTCAATGATGGACCGTGATGTGGACGTGTAAGCCAAATAAACCCTTTCCTCCCCCAACTTAATTTTGGTCATGGTGTTTCGTCATGGCAATAGTGATCTTAACTAAGACAACAGTCTAATATGGTGGGGACGAGCTGGCAGCAGGGGCAGGTGGCCTCTGCAGTCAGGAAGGAGGGAGGGAATAATGTTGGTGTTCAGTGTGCTCTTTATTCAGTCTGGACCCCAGCCCATGGGATGAGGCATCTGTATTTAGGTGGCATTCTCCTAGTTCAGTGTCTGAACACAGGGTCTGCTCTCTGGCATCAAGTGCCCCGTGGTATAAATGGCTAAACCAGAATATAAGTCTTAGGTTCCTGTGCGACCCACACTGGCAGGGACCTCCATCCTAGGCTGACATCTGACTCAGTTAAGGTTTCCTGGAAGCAACCTCATAGACACGCCTACAGATGTGTTTCCATGGTGATTCTAAACCGGTGGGAATTGGCAATGATTGGTGACCATTACAAAGATTGAAATTCTGACCAGCCGGGGTGAAGAGAAAATACCAAACATGTCAACCTCTCTGTAGGGACCTCAGAAAAGTCACCCTTAAAAGTTCAGTTTGGCCGGGCGGTGGTGGCGCACGCCTTTAATCCCAGCACTCGGGAGGCAGAGCCAGGCGGATCTCTGTGAGTTCGAGGCCAGCCTGGGCTACCAAGTGAGTTCCAGGAAAGGCGCAAAGCTACACAGAGAAACCCTGTCTCGAAAAACCAAAAAAAAAAAAAAAAAAAAAAAAAAAAAGTTCAGTTTGATGAGGCATCATTTGCATGCAATAAGAATCACCACCCTTGCCGGGCTGTGGTGGCGCATGCCTTTAATCCCAGCACTCAGGAGGCAGAGGCAGGCGGATCTCTGTGAGTTCAAGGCCAGCCTGGTCTACAGAGTGAGATCCAGGACAGCCAGGACTGTTTCACAGAGTAACCCTGTCTCAAAAAGAAAAGAAAAAAAAAAAAAAGAATCACCCCTTTACTTAAAAGTCTATGAGTTCCGACAAACACAAATAGTCATGTGATCACTGCCACAACCAGGAACATTTCCACCACCCCAAAGCAGCCCCCGTGCCCTTTGGTTATCACATCTTTCCTGCTCTAGCCCCTCGTGAGTGCTGTATTGATTTCAGTCCTCGAGGGGACACACTCGGGGAAATGGGGGGAGAATAAGGTGGGTGGATCATAAGTTGATCCCTAAGACCTAGATGAGAAAGCTGGGTGTTGGGAGCCTCCCTCCTGGACTGCTCTCCCAGAGGACCTCCTAGCACCCATATCTGGTGGCTCACAACCGTCTACAACTCCAGCTCCAGGGGTATTGTCGTAGGGTTTCTCTTGCTGTGAAGAGACACCATGACTGTGACAACTCCTATAAAAGAAAACATTTATTTGGGGCTGGCTTACAGTTCAGAGGTTTAGTCCATTATCATCATGTCGGGAAGTATGGCAGGCAGACATTGGTGCTGGAGAGGTAGCTGAGAGTTCCACATGTAGATCTGCAGGCAGCAGGAAGAGAGAGTGACACTGGGCCTGGCTTGAACATCTAAAGCCTCAGAGCCCACCCCCAGTGACACACTTCCTCCAGCAAGGCCACACCTACTCCAACAAGAACACACCTGCTAATAGTGCCAGTCCCTGTGGCGGGGTGTGAGGGTGGTGATGTCATTTCCCTTCATGGTATCAATGCCTCTGGCCTCCCACAGATACCTGCACTCATGTGCACACATACACACACATTAAAAAATCAATCTCTTCTTGAAATCTTGGTGAAATGCTTGTCATCAAGTGCTGAGCAGGCAGATTCAGGGATATTTGTTGGGCTTATAGACTGGCCAGCCCAGCTTACTTAGTGAATTCTAGGCCCGTGAGTGACCCTGTCTCAAAAACAAACAAAAAAACCAGTGCCTGAGGAACACCACCCAGGGTTGTACTCTGACTTCCACAACGCTCACCCACACTTGTGCATGCCCTCCGCCACATACAAACATACACACTCATGCCGGGCAGCAGACCATGAAAGAAGGCTTCTCAGGGAAATGCAGATGCCTCACAAGGCAGGTTCAGCTGCACTGCACCTTCAAAGATGGGTGGAATCGGCAAGTAAAATAACTTTCCAGGACAGGCGTGGAGCTGCTCGAGTGCCTGTCATCTCAGCAAAGCTGGGGCATGAGGGTCATGAGTTCAAGGCTATCCTACACTACTCAGCAGCCTCGTTTGAACCACAAAAATCTAACCCTTAAAATCACCTGTTACTCGAATGTGTGATTTAATGACTTTCTCTTGAATTCTCTTCTCCTTGGTGGGGCTCACACCCTCTCTCTGCAGCCCTGGTTTGGCACTTCTCAGCTGATGTCGTTTCCAAAGCATTTTCTGAAGTTCTTGGTAACGTCGGTTTTTAAAGGATTTTTATTGTTATGTGTACAGGTGAGTATAAGTGCCCCAGATGGCCAGAGGCGTCAGATTTCCCCAGAGCTAGAGTTACAGGTGATTGTGAGCCACCCAGTGTGGGTGTGGGAATCGAACTCGGGTCCTCTGCCAAGAGCAGTACATGCTCTTAAGCACTGAGTTATCCCCTCACCGCCCCCGCCCCCAGACCCTGCAAAAATCAAATTTTAACACGGTAGAATACTTTCCAGTGTCCATGACTAGTCAGCCAGTCCTGTGTGTCAGGGCCTTTGGTTGTGTGGCCCTGCATTAAGTACTTGCCCCTCTCCTGGTTCTAATGAGTGTCTGAAGATGCCCAGGACTGGAATGAACTGACCCAAAGATAAAAACGTTCAGACATTCTCGATGCAAATTGCCCAAATGCTTTTTATAGGAAGTTTCATGAGTTTAAACTCCCTCCACATGGTTCATATGTTGTAACACGAGTTTACGTGCCTCCTCCCCACCTTTCTGTCCCCAGGACGGAGCCCAGGACACAAGCCCAGTGTCACCCCTCGCAACATTCTAGCCACACTTTTGCAAAGGAGGAGGATACGGGGTCTTTGGTAAATATAGTGGCCCATTTCCTTGACTGTGCAGGGAGAAGATATCCACCCTGACAGACACTCTAGGAATCAAGTTTTAGCCTGGGGAGGAGGTACACGGAACCTCTGGACTCTTTCTAGAGCACCTGTCATGGAGGTGTAGTAGCCCTTGGAGACCTGTGATCTTGGGTTCCTTGTCGAGAGGAAGGAAACTGAGGACGACACGGGGCAGGTGGCATTCTCCTGGTTCAGTGTACTGGCTCAACACCGGCTCTGTCTCCTGGGTGGCATTCTCCTGGTTCAGTGTACTGGCTCAACACCGGCTCTGTCTCCTGGGTGGCATTCTCCTGGTTCAGTGTACTGGCTCAACACCGGCTCTGTCTCCTGGGTGGCATTCTCCTGGTTCAGTGTACTGGCTCAACACCGGCTCTGTCTTCTGGGTGGCATTCTCCTGGTTCAGTGTACTGACTCAACACCGGCTCTGTCTTCTGGGTGGCATTCTCCTGGTTCAGTGTACTGGCTCAACACCGGCTCTGTCTTCTGGGATCACAGCCCCTGTGGTATGAATGGCTAAGCCGGAATGTGAGTATCAGGCTCGTGTGGAACCCACACTTGCAGGGACCTCCATCCTAAGTTGATGATTGTCCCAAGCTAGCCTCTCTATGAGGGTAGGAGAGCCGGGCTGGGCTGTGAAAAGGAAAGCTGAGAGGAAACCATGTTGAGGACTTCCTTATCTTCCGCAGAGACCCCAAGAGTGTGGTCACCCTTTTCAGAGAGCCAGTGACCCAAAATCAGACCAGCTGAGAGCTATGTAAACCAGGAACCCCTTCCTCGACCCCCCAGGATATACCAGGGAGCCATGTCCCTGGAGTTTTAGCGACTCTCCCGATGGGGCAGGAAAGAGGCCTCATCTGTAGCCTGGGTCAGCAGGGCCACTGTGAGCATCCAGTCAGACAATGTGAGGGGGTTCAAGGGACGCCTTCATTACAGGACACACCCAGAGACAGGGCCACACAACTCTACTCGCCACACCGAGAGACACCCTACAAACCCTAGCGCCCCCAAAACTGAGATCTGCTTTCACTTTCTTCCCACAATAAACTGCTGTACCCCATGACCACCCCTACCATTCATGATTGTCCACACCGCCCCACCATTCATGATCGGCACCGCCCCTTCCCCATGCTGAATTTGAATGGGAGTCCTTGTGTATTTACTTATTTCTTTAAGTGCTGGGAATTGAGCTCTGGGCTGGTGTGTGATGGACAGGCACTCTACCCGAGCTATACCCTGAGCTCTCTTTTTACTTTCCAGTTTGACGAAGGGGCTCACCAAGTTGTCCAGACTGGCCTCAGACTTGGGATCTTGTTTCTGCCTTCCTTACACTGGGATTTTCAGGAGTGAAGCCACAGAGACCATCAATCAATCACCCTCAGTAGTCTGAAGACTTCCCTTGGACTTTCAGGGACCGCGACACTGGTGTATGTGAGTTGGTTTTTTGTACTCTAATTATTTTATTTTATTTTATTTTATTGCACATGTATGGGTGTTTTGCCTGCATGTGTGTCTGTGCACCATTTGTGTGCTTGGTGCCTGCAGAGGTCAGAAGAGGGCATCGGATCCCCTGGAACTAGAGTTATGGACAGTTGTGAGCCACCATGTGGGTGCTGGGAATAAAACCTGGGTCCTATATAAGAGCAGCCAGTGCTCTTAACCACTAAGCCATCTCTCCAACCCTGGGCTTGTGGTTTTGACACTGAAAAGAATTTCAGGACTAGCCGGTTTATGATAGAGCAGACTTGGTGATTTTGTTGAAGATATCTTAAGGGTTAAGAGAAAGAGAAGCACTCAGAAAGAAAGACATACCTCCGTCGGGTTCTGTGCTTCCTCGAGGAGCATAGGGGAAAGTAAGGTACGGGAATGTGATCCTTCAAACAGAGCAGGAGAGATAAGACACACCCAAGTGTGGGTGAGGGCTTCTCCGTGGAGAGTCAGTCACCTGCCTCAGCATTAGCCCTTTACACCTTTTTGGTGGCTCTCAAGTTACATCTCAAAAGTTGCGAAGACACCTTTTTTTTTTTTTCTTCTCTCCTGATCAGAGAGAGGTGTGAGGTGACTCTGGAGATAGTGGAATTATAATCTGATAAAAGAAGGCCAGGAGTCACTAGGGTTGACAAGCCGGCAGGTCCTTTCCTGAAAACGGGGCTTTCCGGAGAGATTCCTAGAAAATTGCAGGTTTGTGGCTGGGAAGGGAGAGGCTAGGAGCAGCTGTGAATTGTGCTGGGACTCTAGTCCAGCTGCTGACAGAAGCGTCCCCTGGATTCCAGGGTGAGGGGCTTCTTTCTCCTTTTGAATGACCCCAAGGACATTTGAATGTCCCCTGCCTTGGGGTCACCCTGCCTGGCTCTTTACTTGGGTGGTTTTGTTTCCTTTCGTGATGTCTCTGATCCGAGTCTGCCATTAAGCCGTGTAGGTAACGGAAAGGCATTGAATTTGGAATAGGGCAAACCTGGGCTGGGGGCCTTTCACAAGCCACCTGTTTCCTTGGTGACATCCTCACAGGTTGTTAGGACAGATGGGACCGTGCATTGATAGCACCGTGAATGCCACACAGATGCTCTTGTGAGCAGCTGCGTGGAACTGAGATGAAGGTCGTGTCCTGATTTTCCTTGTAGACCTCACATCTTGGAAGGGTGTCGTGTGTGTGTGTGTGTGTGTGTGTGTGTGTGTGTGTGTGTGTGTGTGTGTGTGTACATAAACACGTATGTCAGACTTCTTAGCATGCATGAGCTACCGTGACATTAGACATTAAAATCTCGTTTCAAATATCACCATATTAAAAAATTTGACAAAACAGTCCGTTAACCACATCGCCAATTTACTCATGAGGTCAAAGGTCAGCGCAATTACTCATCAAGGAAATGCAAATTAACGTCCCAGTGAGAAGCCTCCGCCCCAAGCCCACCAGGACAGTGAAAAGAAAGCCCGCTGGCAATCATACCTGGGGAGAGGCGGAGCCATTGGGAGTCCACTCTTGCTACTGAGAAGCAAATGGTGAACCACTCTGAAAAACCAGTCTGCTGAATAAAAACCAAAACTGCACAGGAAAGCGTCCAGACTGTCTGACTGCATTCCTGTGGATTTCTGTAGTGGCAAAAGGCAGATGAGTGGGTGCCAAAGCCCGGAACTGGAAGAGCCAAGATTGACTCCAAAATGACACAGGCCGTGTGATACAGGGGCCTTTACCCAGCCTCACCGCCTCCAAGCCCACGTGCCCCAGACTTACCCCGCTTTCTCTCCTTCTCAGATGGAGTTTTGTGTAGCCTGGGCTAGCCTCAAACTCACTATGCATCACAATGGAGATGTCCCCAGCTCCTGACCGCCCAGCCGCCTCCTCCCACACACGGGGATCACAGGTGTGAGTCACCCAGGTTCTCCAGGCCCCTCTCTCTGCTCTTTCCTCTCACCCTACACACACAACCCCTTGTCCTCCCTGCCCCCTGTAACGGTCAGCTCAAACCTGGCCAGAAAATGGGGTCCTGACCGCACAGGCTGCTAGTGGGGAACAGTCTCCTGTCTGCCTCGGGCACCTCTCCTTACAGTTCCTCTGTCCACTATCGGGTCACTGTGGACTCAGTCTCTACCCTAGACAGGTGCACTCTGGGAAGGCAGTCAAAGCTGGCTGTCTGGGGGACCCTAGGCCCAGCTCAGGCCTTCAGGAGGGCTACTGAAATAATGCCGAGGACCCTGGCCACTGTCTGCAGAGTCAGGATCATTTAAGACACACAAATGGGGAAATCTTAGGGATAAATGCTCCCCAAGGCCAGGCCTAGTCAGTTCAACTAGACCATCTGAGTCCCCCTGGAACTTTCTAGAAAGTGGAGGGGGGAGAGACGGCTTGAAGCCACAGGAGCTCTTCTAGCCCCATTTTGGCCCCCTCAGAAGGAGAACCTGAGGTAGAGCAGAAAGGAGCCTGCCTCCATAGGCCACCTCCTCCCAACACCCTGGCAGAAGGGGAAGTGACGGCCAGGCCCACCCAGTAGGCCAGGAGGGGTTTTCCTAGGTAGAAGCAAGGCCCTCAGAGAGAGGTCCTATGTAACCAAGAGTCCCACCCAGGGGAAAGCACCAGCCAAGACACCCTGGCCCCTCCCTTTCCTTCCCAAGACAGGACTTTGTAAACCAGAGCCAGGAAGCCAGGCAGCTGGGAACTTGAATGGCCTCCAAACCCTGCTCTGAAATAGCTGAGTGGGAAAGTGTAGTAGAGTCCAAAAGGGGTTCTGGGGCCTCACTGGAGGACAGTACGCTCTGGAGTGTATCCTGAGACCACCCGAGCTGAGGTGGCCTACCTCCCAGAGTGTGAACCGAGCGGTGTCAGTTCATATAGCAGGGTTCCTGAATGACTCTATCTCCAGTCGCTGCCAAGGTCTCCCCAGGTCCTGTGTGCCCAAATGATTGACAGCCTCTCACATGTGTGAGACACCCAGCTGGCTCCTTCTCATCCAGGCCTAAAACACTAAGCCACTTCCTCAGGGGTCCCCACACACAGTGGTTCCAGCACAAGGGCAGGAATGGGTACAGCTAAGCAAAACATTAAAATAATAGTCTGTGGGTACCTCAGCAGACTGTGAGTGCAGTGTTTATGAGAGTGTCATCTTGATTATGAAAATAACTCAGCTAGCGGCGTTCCTGGGCAAACAGGATTCACAGTGTCTATAAAGAATGAGGGAGTCAACAAAGTGGGGGGGCAGTGAGTTTGGGCCTGGATGGGAGCCCTGGGATACAGAGAGTGGTCTCCAGCTGAAATCATACACCTTTGAGTACATCTATGGGTAAGACCATTCTGAACCACATCACAAAGGGGGTGTGTGTGTGTGTGTGTGTGTGTTCACAAGTAGAAAACATCTGCCACCTGTGATCTGCCCTGTGTCTTGTCACTCTTGAGGCGAAGCCCTGATCCCGGTGCCGGGACTTCAGGAAACAGGGACTCTGGGAGTGAGGGGGCGCTGAGGCTGGGGTCCCAGGATCGGGACCCGGGGACTCGTGTCCTCCTCAGGACAGCCAGACAGCTGCTGGAGTTCTTTTTGCCATGTAAGATTGCTCAACCTGCAGTACGATCGGGCTCCCCCAAACCCCGCCATCTGACCCCCCATCTCACACCCATTTGTGGTGGCTTTTGGCAGCACTTTTGGAACACTTGGGACAGAAAAGGGAGGCTCAGTTCAGGAAATGCGGGAGAGACGGCCGTTAGGGGAGAGAGTAGCGGGGAGAGAAAGTTTTACTTTCTTTTAAAGTAGTTTTCTGTATTTCTATTTTCTATTAAGAGGACAAACTGCTTTTATACTCTACAATCATTTAAATTATTTTATACAGTGACTAAAATACATTTTCAATTGTGTCAATTATAAGAATACTTTAAGGATTTGAGGGGGTGGGGAGTGATGGGTATGTGGGGGTATGGGTGTAGGGGTAGGTGTGGGTGGTGATACTTTGTGCTCTAACAAATAAAACTTACCTGGAAATCAGAAGATGGAGCTAGCCACTAGTCAACCATAGAGGCCAGGCACTGGTGGTGCACACCTTTAATCCCAGGACTAGAGAGGTGGCGACAGGAGGTGATATGGCTGGGCAGAGAGAGGAATATAAAGGGGGAGGGAGACAGGAGCTCAGACCTTTCAGGTGAGAAGTTGGCGTGGTAAGAGGTGGCTGTGACTTGCTCCTTTGTCTCTCTGATCTTTCAACATTTACCCCAATATCTGGCTCCAGGTTTTTATATTAAGACTAATTAGGATTTGCGCTACAGGTGTAGGTGGGTGTGGGTGTAGGGGTGGGTGTGGGGGGTGAGTGAGGGGTAGATGTGGGGTGGGGTGGAGGTGTTGAAACAGAGTCTCACTCTGTAGCCTTGCTGGTCTGAAACTCTCTGTGTAGACCAGGCTAACCTTGAGCATGCAGTGATCCTCCTGCCTCTACCTCTTGAGTGCTGATATTAAAGAAATGAACCACCATGGCCCAGGCTATTTATTTACTCAGGCTGTCTTGGAATTTAGGAGAATCCTCCTGCATCAGCTTCCTAAGTGCTGGAATTGCAGGTCTAATCAAGGGTTTACACAGGAGACTCAAACTCCCGTCTTCAAGCCCATTGACAACACATGATGGTATAGCCCATACTCCACTTGGTAGGCAAGGAGGGGCGGGAGGCAGAGGCCAGGGCTTCCACACCCTTTCCATATGCAGCGATATGACTCAGGCAAGTGCCTTACCTCTCCTCCCTCTCCTCCCTCTCCATCAGGTGATTCCACTCTGAAGACGACCAGCTGGCCAGAGACAACACTGGCCGCCACACGGCTCTCCGATCTACCCCACTCAGGGACACACCGTGCATCTCCAAGGCCTGGCCTGGAAGATCCATAGTGAAGTATGTTTTTTTGCTCAGCAATGGTGGCACACACCTTTAATCCCAGCACTTGAAAGGGAGAGGCAGACAGATTTCTGTGAGGTCCAGGCCAGCCTGGTCTACAGCGTGAGTTCTGGGACAGCCAGGGCTGCAAAGGAGAAAACCTGTCTGGAAAAACCACAAAGTATGTTTTGCCAGGTGGTGGTGGTGGTGGTGGTGGCGGCGGCAGCGGCGGCGGCGGCTGCCTTTAATCCCAGCACTCAGGAGGCAGAGCCAGGCAAATCTCTGTGAGGTCGAGGCCAGCCTGGTCTACAGAGTGAGATCTAGGACAGGCACCAAAACTACACAGAGAAACCCTGTCTCGGGGGGAAAGGGAGGGGGGGAAGGAAAGTATGTTTCTACATGGCAGTTCCAGTCAGGCAGGAACAGTTTATGCCATGCCTGGAGCCACTGCCCACTGACCCCAGGGCTCCCTCTGTCCCTGCCTGTCCTCTTCATGCCCATGCCATCCTGTTGCCCTACTTCCAGGACTCACCCCCCCCTGGTGCCTTTTTAGGTGCATTAGGGGCGTACCCTCCTAGTCTGCTATTCCCACATGCCGACCCCAAAGGCCTGGGGTGCCGACATGGTGAAGACAGACACCGATGGTCCAGTCTTGTGTGACTCCACAGCTCCTCCCATAACCCACAAGTTCATGGACGATGCCTCAGAACTCAACATTTGCTGACTAGTACTCAGCTCAGTGCTCCGAGGCTATCCAAGAAGACCTGGGTCCCAGGCACGCCCCAAGATCTCAACGCCCTTTGTGGGGTTAGCTGGACCACTCTCCTTTCTGCCCACCTTTGGAGATAATGATCTCCTGGGGTGGGCTCAGCATCCCAGACAGCTGGGATCAGAGGTTCTCCCTGGGAGCACACCTGGGAGCACGGGCAGCCTAGCCGCAGTGCTCCACAACCAGGGCTCCCTCCTGGTCCAGGCGGTATTTCCTTCTGAGGCCTCCAGTCTCACCAAGGTTAACTCCGTTGCCATGCTGGCATGCTGGCATGAGTTGAGGTGCCATGCTGCCTTCCAATGCCAGAACACTCCAGGGGCCTTTGGTGCTGCTGAAAAGAAAAAGAAAAAAAAAAAACCACCAAACTAAGTCAGTGTATGAAGAAGAGGAATGTGGAGGAGACTCCCTCTCCTGGGCCCGTGGCCAGCCCTTGGGCTCAGCTCAGTGTGCTCCCTTATTTGCTGAGCTGGTCTAAGTACTGGACGGGAGGCCACACCGACTGAGTCATAGCTTAAGGACTTCTGAGGCCCAGCTTGTGGCGGTTCTGAGGGCCAACTCTGCAGGCAGAGAGGAGGGACTTCTCAGGTTTGCTGAACTGGACCACACTGGCCTCTGAACCCTCAGTAGACCTGAGTCCAAGGATGCTCAAGTCTCTCCCGTTGGAATGTACAGTATCTCTCATGTGCTTCAGATTGTCTCTAAGTGGTTTCTACTCCTAGTGGGTTATGAACTCTGTCCTGGCTGGTTTTATGTCAACTTAACACAAGCTAGAGTCATCTGAAAGGAGGGAGCCTTAATTGAGAAAATGCCTCCATCAGATCCGGCTGTAAGGCGTTTTCTTAGTTAGTGATTGGTGGAGGAGGTGCCATTGTGGGTAGGGCCACCCCTAGGCTGGTGGTCCTGGGTTCTATAAGAAAGCAGGCTGAGCAAGCCAGTAAGCAGCACCCCTCCGTGGCCTCTGCATCAGCTCCTGCCTCCATGCCCCTTCCCTGTGTGAGATCCTGTCCCGACTTCCTCCAGTGATGGACTACAGTGTGGATGTGTAAGTCAAATAAACCCTTTCCTCCCCAAGTTGCTTTTGGTCATAGGGTTTCATCGTAGCGAAAGTGACCCTGACTAGGACAAATTCTGTGTGAATAATTGCTAAACCATATTGTTTGGGGAATAAATGGCAAGAGAAAAAAATCTCTGTGCATGTTCAGTATAGACAGACTTTCTTTCTTTACTGAATGTTTTTATCTGTGGTAGGTTGAATCTACCATCTAGCTCCCCCAGATACGCCTGTGACACACTTGGTACCTCTGAAAGTAAAGCAGGCAGGCAGTTTCTCTAGTAACCAGGCATCTGCTTTGGCCAGTGTACCCATCCCTATTCTGGGAGTTTCCCAATATAGTCTTCCAGAGTCCTTTTTTATTGTTGTTTGTTTGAGACAGGGTTTCTTTGCGTAGCCCTGGCTGTCCTGGAACTCACTCTGTAGACCAGGCTGGCCTTGAACTCTCAGAGATCCGCCTGCCTCTGCCTCCCGAGTGCTGGGATTAAAGGCATGTGCCACCATGCCAGCTTCTTCCAGAGTCTTTACCATGCAAGGCCCTGTCTTTCTGCAAAGCCTACAGCATCCCTTTACCCAAATCCAGCGGCACCCATGAGTCCGTCAGCTCTCCATGCCTACTCCTTGGGACCAACTTACTGCCATGGAGGCTCTGTTCTTATACTTTCACATAGACATCCACACATGTGCATACTACTTACAAGTGTATATGCACACACATGCACACACACACACACACAGAGCTACCTGGAGAGCTTGTTCTGGTTAATCCCTTACAATGCATTGTGGTTAATATCATTTACTGCAGTGCTGGGGATGGAGTCCAGGGCCTTGACCACTCGACCACTAAACTACATTCTCAGAGCACTGTGCTTTATTTTAAGAACAAACACAAACGCAACAGCAAAGCCTTTTAATTTAGCAACAATGGAAGGTTTCCTGCAAAGTTGCCAGGGCAGCGCGGAGTCCCTCATGGCCTTCCCATGGCCTGCCCCGATGCTGACATCTTATGGAACCATGCCCATACATCACAGTATAATCAAGCCAGTCACTGATGTCACTGGTATGTCACCAGTTCTTCCCTTTTGCTCTTTCCTTTTCCAGAGCCAATGCAGGACCCTAGTGCGTCTCTTCTCGGCCACCTCCCATCTGACAAGCCTCCTTGGTCCTTTTGGGGTTTCACAACCACAGCCCATTGGGGGAGTCCCCGTGAGGCCTTTTGGAGCGTTCCCTCATCTCGGGTTTGTGTGACAGTTCTCGGAGAACGCGATTCTGCACATCAGTTTGCCATGTCGACCCAGCTTATTGCTGGTGAGTGCAGCGCCCGTCACTTGAGAAAAATGACATCTGAAAGGTTTCTGCTTCCCCTTCCCATGCACAATGGGTCTGAAAAATACTCCCAAGAAAGAGGACAGAAGGTCTTCTCCCTGGCAAGGTGGTCACTAAATGTCACATAATGGCCTTCTCTCCCTTAGTTATGTACACTTTCTTAATCTCCTGTTCACAACCCTCACTGGCTCGCCTCCCTCCAAGGGGCAAAATTAACTCATGATAGGGGACTGGTTCTGATACTCTGAGGAAATCAAAATTTCAGAAGTCCCTGATGTAAAGTGACATAATATTTGCTCCCCGCTGCCATGTGCTAGGGATCAAACCTAGGATCTTGGGTATGTTATCGCAGACTTTCAACCACTGAGCTACATCCCCAGCCCTTAAAGTGACACAGTATTTGCCTATCAGCTGTGTGCCTCCTACCAACTTAAAGTCATTGTCGGATGTCTTTAGACTGTCTCTAGTGCAATGTAAGGGCTGTGTCAGTAATTGCTATACTATACTGCTTAGGGAATAATGACAAGAAATGATCTGTACATGCCTGTATCAACACCATTTTTAAAACTTAAGAAAAATTATCTATGTGTATGAGTGTTTTGACTACATGTATGTCTGTGCACCATGTGTATGCAGTACCCAAGGAGGCCAGAAGATGGTGTCAGATCCCCTGGGACTAGAGTTACAGATGGCTGTGAGCTGCCCTGTGGGTGCTGGGAATCAAGCCCGGGTCCCCCGGAAGAGCAGCCAGGTCTCTTTTAATAGTTGAGCCATCTTTCTAGCCCCAACCTCATTTGTGGTGTGTGTTTTCCATCCCAGGTTGGTTGAGTCCCCAATACAGAACCCAGGGACAGAGTAGACTGATGACTGATGCCGTTTCATCGCACATGTCAGGTAAGATCACAACTGTCTCTCTTCCTTGTCACGAGGAAGCTTCTGTCCAGCCACCTATCTACCAGGCATCACGTGGCGTGGCAGGCACCTTTGCCAAGCCTTTAGACAGGCTTGATTTCCTTTAATCCCATCCCGTTCCAGTAAGTGGATGTGTTTACCACCTCCACTTATCAGGCAAGGAGACAGCCATAGGGGGGTTAGGTCACAAGGCCACAGGGGAACTGAGCCCCTTCGATCATGCTCCTGCTTCTAGCCCAGCAGCTGGATGAACATCTGGGCTTCCGTGGGAACTAGCTGGATGAAGAGGGTGTGTGTAAAGAAGCAGACAGCAACCCGTACATTGCCGGGATCCACGGGACCAGAGAGTTAAGCGTGTACCAAACAGTCCTGTGTCTCCCACCTTCCCGTCTGGCATCTCCATGTGCTGCCAACAGGGAAGGAGGGTCAGGCTGGCAGTGAAACGAGGGCTTCCCCCTCTCAGTTCCTGCAGGACAAAAGCCAAATAGAAGGAGGGTGATGGTGACTGCTCCCAAACCATGAATGCTGAGCCATCGGAGACAAGGAAACGCAGCCTCTCAGCTCTTCGTGCTGCCTGGGTACAGAGTGAACCAGGATGACCCAAGAGGGCCCCACACAGATCTGTGAAGGACATGGAGCCTTGAAGGTATAGTGAAGGTACTCCAGCCAGACTCTTCCAGATGAGGAGGGATCCCAGTCCGTAGCAGGCCCTCTCCGAGGTTGAATCCCTTTGTAAATTTGGAGGTAACAATTCTAGTGTGGGGCGGAGAGAGACAGGCAGGGCGTGGTCATCAGAATAAATTAACTCCCCCATAGGGGAGAGGGGCAGTATGGGCTACAGCCTGTACATGGGGAAGGAGGAGGGTCTTCCAGCCAGGGGGTGCTGTTGTTACTGTGGGTGTCAAGGAGTCTCCCAGTTCCAGGGAAGCCCCTGGCAGCAGAGGCTGCCTGCCTGCAGTGAGCTCTGAATTGGGGAATACTCTGCCTTGGACTGAGAAGCCCCTGCAAGTGATTACAATCATGCTGAGGCAGGAGGATGGCCAACTCACGGCCATCACGTCTGAAGGCTGTGTGGGGACACAGGGACAGTCGTGCTTGAGCAGAGACCTAGGAAGACTCTCTAGGAAGTGGGACCAGAGGCAGGCATCCTAACAGATTTCCACTCAGGTCCCCACAGGCATACACACAAAGCCAGCCTGTGTGATGCTTCTCTGCTGCCAATGCCCAGAGCTCCCTTCCCGGCCCGCCCTGCTGCCTGGTCTGGGCTGGTGCCAGCTCTGCACTGGGTCACTAGGGAAGCCTGTTTGGCAGCACACCTAATTGTAGCCTGGGCAGAAAGGCCAGGCAGCCACGAGACACTTGGGTGGTGGCCCTTCCAGGATAGGAGGTGGCTTATGCAGCTGCCCAAGGCCACTCAACCTTTCAAGTCTTTTATCTGAGGCTGTTTGGGGGACATCAGCCTTGGGGAATTATGTCCAAGAGGTGGCAGGGTGGCATGGCTGGAGAGGTGGCTAGCTGTTGAGCTTACGCTCACTAGGCGACAGGGACCAGCTGCTTCTGACTGCCAGGCTGCTGTCTTCCTTTCTTCCTCTGTAAATCAGTAGTCCTAATGATGACCTTGACCTAGGGCCTCAGCAGCTCCGGAAATGGTGAGACAAGCAGGGTCTCAGACTCTGTTCCAGACCTAAGAAGTTTCAGGATGGACCCACAACCTGGGTCTACCATGCCTTCTCTGCACAGAGTCGTGGGTCTCTTCCTAGGCTCATGCTGATGCACTGAGCTCACACTGCAGAAGAAAGTCTCTTGCTAAGAGACAGAGAACGCCATGGACAAGGAGGCATGCCAATAGTAGCACAAACTGACCCCTGGGTGACCCTTCCTGTCCCTTGACACCCAGCCCAAATGAGCACTGTAGACGAACCTCCGGGCAGTCTCTCTGGGAACTGATCAGATCCTCTCTGCCGGGACCCATGAGCCTTGGTGGATGGTGCATCTGGTTTGTGGGTCAGTCTCTCCTGTCTTGGTGAGGAACCCAAGGACAGGACGTGGGTTTGAATTCTCCCTGTCCCCAGATTCCTCTCCTCCCCTGCCACATGCACCGTCCCTCTGAGAAGTCTCCAGGAGACTATGATACTCTGGTTCTGGTCTCGGTTTTTGTTGACAAAGGATGCAAGTTGAGAGCATGTGGACCCTGTCCTGAGTACCTGACACATGGACACATCTGCTTCTCTCTCTCTCTCTCTCTCTCTGGAGGACTGAAGACAATCTCACAGAGAGGGTGCACAGCCTGGAGACACACTGAGAAGGCAGAGGCTGGCAGCCAGGATGCGGCCACCCGCAGCCCGAGCTGCCCACCAGGTCTGTGAGAGTGGGTCCTCTGGCAGGCAGGAGCTACCCACTGCCCTGAGCCGGGCCTCCATGCAGGTCAGGGGTTAGCAGCCTGAGGTTGGGGAAGAAAGCTCTGGCTTGAGTGAGGAGGTGGCTGCTGGGGGTCACTGCTCACCAGCCTGTGATAATGGGGATGTTGCTCTAGTCCTCTGTTCCTCAGTTTCCCCATGTGTAACATGGGGCTGAAATGGAGGGGCAGCACACCAGCATCAGCACAACACTGGCCTGCTTCTGCATGTCTGTGCCCGACCTTCCTTTGAACTGGATACATCAGGCAAGGCACCGTTGTGATTTCTCTCTGGAATCCACTAGACCTCAGTTTCCTCTTTAGCAAACGAGTGGGCTGACCTGGATGGTAAATATCTTAACTGCCCCTCTGTCTTCCATCCCCAGGGCCTCCAGGGGAGGAGCCAGGAGCCTGGGGCTGTCAGCAGGAAAACAGTCGCTCACCCCCAAGCAGCCTCTGATTGGTGGAGGTGAACCACTTGACAAGGTGTTTGGCCAACCAGGAAGCTGCCATACAATCAGTTCCCTCTGCGTTCTGGTCTTTCTGCTGCTTCTGGCCTGATGAGCTGGACCAAAGAGAAAGAGAAATGGTAGGAAGAACGGGTGGGCCCAGGGGTGTGCCCACAACCTCTCCTCTCTCCAGCTCTTCTCAGCCTCTCCCACCTAATCTGGAGAGCATGTCAGTGCAGCGGGGACAGTGGCTAACCTGTGCGTTGTCCCATGTTGGTTTCATGGCTGGACTCTGGCCAAAGGCAGGAATGTTCAAGAGCTGTAGAGGCCTGGGCTAGCGGGGCTTGGACCTGGATGGGGTCACTGGATGACTCAGGGGTGAAGATCAAATGGATGAAGATGTCTGCCCCTGGGGGTCTCCTACCTCTCAGCAGCTGCCAGGCCCAGTTCCTCCAAATTAGCAGTAGAGAAGAGACTAGCCTTGGTAGATCCTTGGACCACCACATCTGGAATGCATCTCCAAACACACCTAAGTAAAAGATTCCCAGGTACGGCTTCTCTGACTACAGGATTTTAGAACGGACTTGGGAGCTGTCCACAGAGTGGCTAATAACATTCACATGGCCTGGATGTCATATGCCATCTGTGACTACCATCTTGCCTCACAAGACAGGGCATTTTAGTAGGGAAAAAAATGGAGAGATACACTCTCAGAATAAATGATAATTCCTAATGTATTTTACGTTTTAGTGCATTTTATGCCCCTGTAATACAATACCACAAGCCAGGCAGTTTATAATGAGCCTACAGTATTTGTTGGCTTGTGTTCTTGGAGTCTGGGCAATCTAAGATGGAATGGGCAGTGGCCAGTAATGCCCTTCCTGTCATACCACCCATGACAGAAGGACAGAGAGAGCGCGGTGGGGCTAAGTCCATCTATCCTTACGGAACCTTAACACAGCCTTAGCCCGCTCCTGGAGGGTAGAGCCCTTGTTGCTGAACCACTCTGTAAAGGCCCCACCTCCTAATACCACCAAAGATCAAGCTTCCAACATACGAACTTTGAAGGGCATGTTCAAACCAAGCATAATTTGAAAAAAATAAATAAATGAAAATTCCATAGTACAGAATGAAAAACTCAGTCTTTTGGCCTTGATTTTGTTCGTTCACAACAAAATCACGAACACTAACAAGGCTCAAGGCTAATTAGAAACCCAAGGCTGATACTAGTCACACAATCCCAGGGCTTGGGAGGCAGAGGCAGGTGCATCTCTGTGAGTTCAAGGCCAGCCTGGTCTACAGTGTGAGTTCCAGGACAGCAGGACAACATAGTGAGACCCTGTTCTGAAAAACGAACCAACAGACCACCAACAACCAAAACAGGAACCCAAGGCTAATCCAATTTTGGCACGCACTCAAAGAGGAGAGTCATCAAGGTAACCCAGCACGGTAACACCAGGACCTGGAGAAGCGGCGCTCTTATGTCAAGCCTGTTGAGTCCAGCTCGGTTGTTCGAACATCTTCACTGGGTTCTCCCACAGGGGACAGCTGATCTTGCTAACTTTCCCTGTCCCTTGGTAGCTGGTTTCCAACCTTTCTCATCTCTCCAAGTCTGGACCTCACAGCTGTCCCAGCAGGCTGGAGCAGAGGCAGGAGGAGCCACAGCCTGAGGCCAGCTTGGGCCCTAAAAGTGAAGGGGGGGGGGGAGAAGAGAAGCGAGGAGAGGAGAGGTTCAAGAAGGAGGCACAGCGTTACTAAAATTACTAAGGAAATAGGAAGCTAGACCCTGGGGAGGTTGCTCCGTCAGCAAAGTGCCCTCTATGCACATAAGAACCTCAATCTAGATCCCCAGAACCCAAGGAAAACAAACAGCAAACACCAGGCCTGGCCGCGTGCTTGCAATCCCATGCTAGCAAGGCAGAGATGGCGGATCCCCACAGTTCCCTGGCTAGCCCGTCCAATCCAACTGGTGAGCTTCAAGTTCAGCGAGAGATTCTGTCTCAAACAATGAGGTGGAGAATTAACAAGATAGACACTCCAACACCAACTTTTACCGGAACTGGCTTTGCGGCGATCAGTGGAGTGAATGGTCATAACAGCATAACGTAGGGTAACTTGACAGTATCTTTGTGAATAAAATGTATGTATAAAGTCACCGGGCGGTGGTGGCGCACGCCTTTAATCCCAGCACTCGGGAGGCAGAGGCAGTTGGATCTCTGTGAGTTCAAGGCCAGCTTGGTCTACAGAGTGAGTTACAGGACTGTTTCACAGAGAAACCCTGTTTCGACAAAAGGTATGTATACAGTCATTTGTAGTTGTGCATACTTGTAATCCCAATACAGCTACAATCTGTCTCAGAAGAGTCAGGAAATCTTGGCTAAGTTTGAGGCTAGGGCAGAAGGATTGCCGTGAGTTCAAGACCAGCTTGGATTACATACCAAGACTCTGTCTCCAAAAGAAAAGGAAAGAAAAAAATGCATGCACATGTATCAGGATTTTAATAGCAGTTTTAGTCATAATAGCCTGAGACTGGAAACAACCCTAATGTCTGCACTACAGCTATGACTTTTAGAAGAATACAAATGTGGAGGTGGGAAGACAGCCCAGTCAGACGTATTTGCTGCACAATCCTTGGAAGCCATGTAAAAAGCCGACACATACCTGTGGTCCTAGCCCTAAGGAAAAGGCAGTTCCCTGGGGTTTGCTGGCCGGCCAACATAGCCTAATTGTCCAGCCCCAGGTCCCAGTGAGAGAGCTTGTCTCAGAAGACAGAGCAGATGGCTCCTGAAGAACCACACCCAAGGTTGACACGGGGCCTCCAGCGCATGCACACTGATGCACACACAGACACACACAGACACACACACACACCCTACTTGCATGAAACAGCATCTTGAGTGAAGGGAGCCAGACCTCAAATTTCACATACTGCAAATTCTATTTATAAAGGTTTCAACACACACACAAAAGTTATCAATGCCATTAGAGGTCATAATAAGGACTGTTCTGGTCAGGGGCCAGGAAGGATGAAATGGTGACTGGAGGGAGCTCGGGTGGCTTCCAGGTTCTAGGAAGAGCGTTTCTTGCCCTGGGTGTTGGTGGTACAGTAAGTTCGTCCTGTAAAAACTCACCTGTGCACAGAATTTGTGCTTTCCTGTGACTGTGCTGTGCTTCCTTAAAATCCACAGGCAGAGGCAGAGGAGTGGGAGGGGAAAGGAGGAGGGAAGACAGACACCCCCCCACCAAGCAGTTAACCCAGCACTTCCCATGCTAACTGATCCTGTAGCTCTCCTTGCATGTGGGCACACAGTGGACCAGCAGGATATACTGGAAAGTGGCAAGCAATCTAGATGTCCTGGTTATTCATCCAGAAGTGTTAAACGCATCCATAATGGAGTGTTATTTAACCATTACCAAGAACAGAGTTGATTTTTACAGATGGATGTACAATAAGTTCCAAGATAAAATGTGAAGTCAGTAAGGTGGACTCAGAAGTTCACAGCACACAGTCTTCTCTACAGAACAACATGCACACATGGGTAGACTGAGCACACTCAGGAATCGGGCATTCTGGCCTGAGGGGCGATGCTTTCTCTACAGCTGTGATCTACAGCTACATCCAGTCCTTCTTGCTGGACCACACTGTCTCTGAGTGTTGGGTGACAAGGGTCTTAGGAAGTCCTTCAGCTTACGAACTTATCAATATCCTCTTGAATACGAGTTGGCAGCAACGGAAGCCTGCTTGGCTATCTGGAAGATGGCTAGATGTGGGTAGACCTAGGACTTATGCCTGAAGAGCCATGATCCCAGGTTACCCCTTCCATCCAGGGAACACAGTCTGGAGTGAGACAAGCTCCAGGTCCCCGGAGAGCCATTGCCTTCCACCCTGTAAGAATGAAGCAAGACTTGGGGAAGGTCACGATGCCCAAGAAGTGACTTGGATCCAGAGGCCAAGCACATGGCTTTGTGCTGAGCAGTCGCCAGGGAACCATATTGCAGACTCAGTCAAAGCAGACAAGAACCGCCTCCCTCCACGCAGGAGTAACATGTTCTGGTAAGGGAGGGCAGTGACTTGACCTAACACCAGAGCCGAGGGCCTGGAAGGCAAGCAGGTAAGAGTATTGTGGAAAGCAGTGAAGAAAGATGGGGTGTCGTGTGGGTGGGCATCTGGTCCAGAAGAGTCAGGGATACCTGGGTAAGTGTGAGTGTCTGGATTCCACCTGGGGCTTTGAGCATGGGTCTGGTACACTGTCCACTTTTGGAAAATCCTTCCAGTGGTGACAGGCAGATGACAGTGTCAGCCTTGCTAGGGAGACTTGCTGGGACGTGGTGACAGTCACTCAGGTATGTCTGTGTAGCAGCCTGGGCAAGGGACAGAGTGAGTGATGCGAACAGTTGGCACGATATTTTAGAAGAAACGGTGACGTCATTGGCGAAAGAACAAACACAGGAAAGGGAGGAGTCAAAGGTGAGCCACATCACTAGATCAAGAGGCAGGACATCCAGAGGCACCCTCTTGAGTGAGGACATCCAAGTTGGGTGAACGCAAGTTTGCTCCCAAGGATGCTGGATGAGAGAGAGGGACCTTGGGGTGCCCCAGAACAGAAGCCAGCAGGGTTGACAAGGTTGATGTAATGTTGACTCATTAAATCAACAGTTGCCATGTGCTGACGTGGATGAATCAGCCAAGCTCCCTGTCCCGGGGGAAAAGACAGCACACGAAGAAACAGAAAAGCTGCAGGCCAGACGAAGTGCTGTGGGGAGTTAAGGTGCAGGCGGCAGTCAGGGGGTGAGGTCAGCCTGAGTCCACAAGCATGCTGGAAGAGGCTTCCTGGGACACCAAGTACATGACACGCGAAGCCCTAGAGACAGCGGTTGATGTGACAGGCATCCCAGAGCAGGCCTGGACCCATGTCTTGGTTTATTTTTGTGATTATAACAAAACACCTGTGACCAGGAAGTTTATAGAGGTGTGTGTGTGTATGTGTGTGTGTGTGTGTGTGTGTGTGTGCACATGCACATGGAGACCAGAGGTTAGCCTCTTAGGAGCCGCCCACCCTGATTTTGCTGGATTTGTTTAAGGCAGAGTATCTCATTGGGATGTGGGGCTCGCTGACTTGGCCAGACTGACTGGCCAGCAAGGTCCAGTGTTCTGCCCCTCCGTACCTCCCCAGAGCTGGGATTAAAAGTGTGCACCACTCCGCCTAGCTCTTTACGTGGGTTCTGGGGATCGACCCCAGGTCTCCAGGCCTGCATTGCAAGCTCTTTCCCAACTGAGGCACCACCCCACCTCCTGTATAGAAAGTTCATTCGGCTCACAGTTCTGCGGCCCAAGAGCACTAGTTGTGTTCAACATCTGACGGGGGTCTTCCTGCTGGGTTAAGACACCGTGGAGAGTGTCACGTGGTCGGATAGAGCGCGCAAGCCAGCTAGGCTCTCTTATTATAAAACCTCATGCCCTTCCTTAATCCCAATTACCTTCCAAAGGCCCTGTCTCCAAACACTATTAACATGTGACTCTGGAGACTATTTCCCAACACATGGAGCATAACAACCATGAGTGCGAGGGGACAGGAGAGAGCTCAAGAGCAGAGTCCCTGCAGGAGCTCAGGTGTGCATGGTGGGGTGGGGCGGGGAGGGGCGGGGAGGCGTTATCTCAAGCACGTTTGGTGCGAGCCACTGAAAAGTCTAAGGATGCCTGGGGCGGGGAGGGGGGGACGATGGGGAGGCGATGTCAGCAGGGGTGGACACGGGGAGTCAGAAAGCCAAGGGGGGCAGCAGGCAAAACAATTTCAACAAATCTGAGTGGAAGACTGAGTCCATGGGTGCTCAACTCCCAAGTAGTTAAACGTGGTGAATCCTCTTTAAACGCTCCCACTGTTACTTTCAACCAATGCCTTCTCTTTGGGCCTGTTTAATCCCACTGTCTAGCCAGTGTGAAACTTTGAGGCATCAGGGCTGGTATGAACCTTAAGCCTTACCAGTTTAAGTACAGGGCTCTCTGCCTGCTCACCTGTGTGAGGACAGGCGGCATGATGCCCGGCTCCAGAACACTCACATCAGCTATGACTGTTCCCATACCTCCACGGGTATCCAGGCTCTGCAGCGAGGCCTCTGACCACTAGTGGAGGGGTGTCCTATCGCTGCACTGTAGGTTGGGGGACCCACACACATTGCATGTACTAACCCTGCTCTCCAAGACCTGTGAGGTGTGTAAATGGATAACCGCACCTAGAGACCGACAGAGAAAAAAAAGGTACCCCGGCTTTGGGTCAGCTCTCACACGTAGGCCGGTGGCCTTTGTATGGCCACTGGGAAGGATGCGCAGGCCTCATTACGCATACGTTAGGTGGTCGGCTACTCGGCTGGTGTTCCTTTTGCAGCAAACTGCAGGCTAGCACGGTGGAAGAGGCCAGACCCAGAAGCTTCAGATCTGACTCCCTGCGAGAAAGAGCGGATGCAGCAAATGTCCCTAAACCCAGACAGCTTTCAAACCTCCTCCTGGGCAGAGGCGCGGTCCAGGGAGCCAGGGGCAGCTTAAAAGAAATGAAGAGGCAGCGTTAAGCCGTCCCTGGGAGTCCCGCCCGCTGCGCGGGGCCAGCGCGCGACCTCGGCGAGCCGCCCCTCCGCCCGCCCGCCCGGAGCGGACCTCACGGCTGCCGACCGCCGCCGCGCCTCCGCCGGGACCTTTCCCCTACTTTCCAGGCCTCACGCCCCGCCTCCAGCCCGGACCAAAACACGTGCCGCCTCCCGCCCCGCCGGATCACGCCGCAGCCAGGCTCCGATCACGCGGCCCCCCGCGGCCCCCATTGGCCCGCGGCTTGCCGGCCCGGCGCCGATTGGCTGGCGGCGGAGGCCACGCCCCCCCGAGAAGGGAGCGGTGTATTTTGGTTTGCCCGCGCGCCCCGCCCCGGGCCGCTCCCTCCGCGGCGCCCCGCCCCTCCCGCGCCTGGCGGGCCGCGCGGAGGCAGAGCCGCGCGCGGCAAGGAGGGCGGAGGTGCGCGCCGGCGGCTGCAGGCGCCCGGGACCCCGCCGCCCGCCCGCCCGCCCGCCGCACACGTGCAGCCTCCGCCGCCCGCGGAGCCCTCTCCCTCCCCTTCCTCCCCCCCCCCGCCCCGATCCGCAGCTTTGTCGCCTGCAGGCCGTCCGGCACCATGCACTCGCCGGGCTCCGCCGGCCCGGGCGACGCGCGCTCGGTGAGTGACGGGGCTGAGCGCGGGGCGAGGCGGCGGGGAGGGGGGCGCGGGAGGGATGGCGACTCCGCGCGGCGGTCGAGGCCGGGGCGGTGCTCCGGTCGTGGCAGGGGCTGCGCGTCTCGGCGGGGTCCCGGGTGGGGAGGGGGGCGTGTGAGCGCGGCCGGCCACAGCCTTCAGCTTTGTCTCCTGTCGTCCGCTGCCGGCCCCGCCCGGCGCGGCTATTTCCAGCCATGACGTCACCCGAATCCAGCGGAGGACCGCTGTTGGGTGTGGGCGCGGCTGGCGGGAACGGGGAGGGCGGGGCGGGGGGCGGGGCCCAAGCTGGGGCGCGGCGCCAGGGGGCGTGGTGAAAGCGTTTGCTGGGGGGGGTGTCGAGGGGCGGGGCCAAAGCCGGGGCGTGTCGAGAGTGCCTGGGAAGAGGGATGTGGGGAGCTCGGTGGGACCCGGGCTGAGGGCGAGGTGAAGGCACCTGGTGGTAGTGTGAGGGAGCAAGGGCGGGGCCCAAAGCTAGCTGGCTTGGTGCGAGCCGCTGGTGGAGGGGTGGGGTGGGGCAGGGGGCGGGGCCAACGTGAGGGGGTGTGGCGAGAGCGGCTATCTGATAGGGGTGTGCAGAGGGCGGGGCAAGGGCGGAGTCCAAGGGAGGAAATGGTGAGAGCATCTGGCCGGAGTGTAGCGGTGGGGCCGTGGGTTGAGCCAAACCAAAGGTGTCCCAGGTGGGTGTACCTGGAGGAGGGTATGGCAGAGTGAGCCGGACCCAGGCAAGAGTGTGTCTGGGAAGGTTCTGGGGGGGACGTGGCAGCTGAGCTTGGTGGCCTTGTAGGAGGTAGGGCTGGGCAAGGGGTGGGGCCAAAGCAAGAAGGCGTGGTAATGGGACCTGGACCAGTGTAGGGCTTGGGCCTAGCCACAGAGTGGAGTCAAGGTAGGGAACCCCTGTCAGAAGGTGTAGAGCACAGGGCCACGGAACCTGACAGACATGTTGGGGCCAGGGGAGGCGCTCGGGTTTCTGTCGAGAACACAGCAGTACATGGACCCCAGGGTCCGTATTTATCCTTCCTAGTCTACGGGCTGGACATTCTACTCGATGGATCAGAGTCAAATGATCCTGGCAAGAGGTCGAGTCTGGCCCCCGAGACGCTGGATAAGGCCCTTTGCAAAAGGTAGCCTCTTCACCTGCTCACTGAAGGGGACTCTGGACAGACAGGAAGTTTCGAGGCTCAGAAAACGTGTGTGGAAATATATGTATCAAAGGTTCAAGGTTCTCTTTTGGAAGGGATGGGTTCCAGTCTCTTCCTCCCCACGCACCTGGTTGTAAAGGTGGTGTGGTGTGCAGGACGAGGTGCCTTTCACACACCCTTCTGCTCACCCCACCTCCTCCTAGTTTTCAGTAGTGACGAGTGTCTTCATGTTTCTGAATGCTGAGGAAACAGGCAGTCACCGTGGACTCTATTTGCATGGAACCCAGGTTCAGCCACTGGGAAATTAAGTTTGGGGTAATGCTTCCTTAGAGACACTACTTTGGCGGCTTTTGATCTAGAAGATTTCACCCGCCAACTGGCTGCTTAGCCTCATTATCTGCTTCGTCTATTTATCTTTCCCGGGACACCTTCCTACTAATCTCTGTGGTATATACCTCTAGAGTTAGTCTTAATCATTTACCCAAGAAGCTTGAAGTTAGTCACCTGTTCTGTTTATTTTTGTTTTATATTGGTGGGCATTGAACTCAGGGTCACACATGAGCTAATCAAGCATTACACCACTGAGCAATAGCCCAGCCTAGAAACCTTTTTAAGAATCAGGGTTTTGAGTTTTTTGTCTTGTCTTATGGAAACTGTTTCTCTAACCAAACCTAATCTTCAGAGCTTGAAAGCAAAGTTGTTGTGAGAGTTCCATTCAGGTCTTCTTACGTCAAGACAGAGCCTGTTGCTTTGTTAGAATGCTGCACGTTACGTCTGTGGTAGATCCGCCTGCCTGTCAGGGTTACCCCTTTTATTCTCCTGAACTGAGAAGCCGCTGATTGTGTTGCCTGTAGGCCGACATCATGGACATCTGTGAGTCCATCCTGGAGAGAAAGCGGCATGACAGCGAGAGGTCCACATGCAGCGTCCTGGAGCAGACAGACATTGAAGCTGTGGAGGCTCTTGTTTGCATGAGCTCTTGGGGGCAGAGGTCCCAGACGAGACCCCTCACGCCGGTCTCTGATTCTGGTGACGTCACCACCACTGTGCTCATGGACACAGCTGCACCTGATCTACCAAAGGACTTTCATTCTTTTTCAACTCTGGTAAGAGGAGGTGGGGGAGAGAAGCATTTCTATGAACTTCCCAGAATAACTTAGGTAAAATATGTTGAAGAACTTGTAGGGAGATTAACTATGGTGCTTCCAGATGCCGCCAGGAAGTTCCCTACATTCCCTTTGGATACCAAAGTGTGAAAACGTATCTCTTAGAAATGTTTTCTTTTCCTTGGTGAGTCATAACTTGCTGACTGGTTGGTGGCCATTGGACAAAGCCTAAAGATGGTTACAGAAAGGTGATGTAGACCAGATGCCTGGGGAGTCCAAGGTAGGGTCTTGCATTGTCCCAGTCTAGGATGAGGATGTGGAGAGCAGCTAAAGAAAGCATGTACTCTGACATCAGAAAGCCTTAGTTTAGCGGAGACATGCCACTCTGCCTTCCTGTGGCAGCCGCCTGGTGTGACTGGGAGTTGATAAATCAATGTTTTATTTTTAGGTTCTAACTTGCCACACCTATGGAATTGCTTCTTGGGTTGGAGAAGTCAGGCTGTAGATCACTCACGGTAGTAAAACTAAGACGTGCTTGGCCTGGGCGAAGAACTCTCACCGAAGACTGTAGAGGGTAGACTTGAGGAGGAGTGAGTAGAGCGAGGACTGGAGGAAAGAGGAGCTGGCTCCTCGTAGCCCCTCAGGTCTTCAGGCTTGGGCTTTTTCAAGGTGGCTGATAAGTGTTGGGGGCTAGTGCATAGCGGCTCAGTTTGGGAGAACCACTGTTTTCTTGATTTAAGAGCCTGAGATTTCATAAAAAGCTTTCATTTCATTTTTGGAGACAGGGCTTTTCTCTGTGTAGCCCTGGATGTCCTGGATCTCACTCTGTAGACCAGGCTGGCCTTGAACTCACAGAGATCTGCCTGCCTCTGCCTCCAAAGTACTGGGATTAAAGGCGTGTGCCCCTGCCACTTGACGAAAAGCTTCCATTTTAAAGTATGAATTTGTGTTATTTTTACAGTCCTTTTAGTTAAATTGCGTTTGACAGTAGCTACGCATGACCTAGAGTAGACAATACCCTTCCTTCCAACGAGACCAAAACAACCTATGACACCATGCTTTTCTTTCTTTCTCTTGAAGTGTATAACTCCTCCTCAGAGCCCAGAGCTCATGGAGCCATCGACAGGGACCCCTGTTCCTTCCCAAGTAACTAATTCCAAAGGATGCATGGTCACCGCCCTCCCCCCATCCCCCACTGCGGCCACTGGAGCGCTGAGCAGGAGGGAGCCAGTGGAGCCAGCCTCAGGGTCCTCCTGCAGGGCTGTGATGACGAGTGTGATCCGGCACACCGGGGAGGGTCCTGCTCCTCCGTGCTTTCCAGCCGCCCCAACTCAAGAGCAACAACCGCCTGGCAGCGGAGAGGGACAAGGAGGGCTGCCGGGCCATCGGGAAGCTTTGCAGGACACACGCTTGGCAGATGGTTTACTTGTTACTAACTCAGTTTCCTGTCAGCCTTGCTTGCACAACCCTGGTGTCCCGTTCCCCACCTACAAAGACCAGCAGGCAGGATGGCCGGCTGCCATTCAGCCCTGCTCACCAAAGAATTCTGAAAGTGACTTGTCAAGGAACACCCCTCTGATTTCTGTCCCTGTCTCCAGTCCCCCGGTCCTTTGCCAAATGATCCCCGTGGCTGGACAGAGTGGCATGTTCTCGGCTTTTCTGAAGCCTCCTCCCCAGTTGTCTGCAGGGATTGTCAAGCCCATCCTGCCCCAAGCTGCTCCGGCGCCCCAGCCTGTGTTCATGGGCCCGTCTATGCCTCAGGGAACTCTGATGCTGGTCTTGCCACAGAGCACCTTTCCCCAGCCTGCTGCCTGCCCATCCGGTGTCGTGGCCATCGGGAATACCAAACTGTTGCCCCTGGCCCCTGCTCCGGTGTTCATCGCCTCCAGCCAGAACTCTGCCCCTCAGGTAGACTTTTCCCGAAGGAGGAACTATGTTTGCAATTTCCCGGGCTGCCGGAAGACCTACTTCAAAAGTTCCCACCTGAAGGCTCATCTTCGCACCCACACAGGTGAGTGGCGGGGGGTCCTGGTGTGAAAGGGACACCAGAACTTCGGGGAGGAGAGCCTTCTGAGCCTCTTGAGAGAGGCAGGAGAACCAGTGAGGAGGGCGGGCTTGCTGCGGTTGGGGTCATCAGCAGGTGCCCGCTGGGGAGAGGATGGGGCTTGGGATGGTTGGGGGGTACTCTGCCTCACTGCAGTGGCATCGCGTTCATATTCAGTGTAGACATCAGTGTGATTTGGAGGACGGTCCACGCACGCCATCTGAGTTCACATTGTAGAATTGGGGCGGGGGGGGTGGGGGTTTCGAGACAGGGTTTCTCTGTGAAACAGTCCTGGCTGTCCAGGAACTCACTCTGTAGACCAGGCTGGCCTCGAACTCACAGAGACCCACCTGCCTCTGCCCCTCAAGTGCTGGGATTAAAGGCACACGCCACCAGCACCCGGCGACACTAGAATTTTTAAGAGTATAGGAATTTTTGTTGTTGTTTGTTTTTGTCTCGTTTGGGTTTGGTGTTGTTGCTTTTGAGAATATATAGTTTTTAGTTTAAGAAGTCACACAAGGGGCTGGAGAGATGTCTCAGTGGTTAAGATCACCGACTGCTTTTCCAGAGGTCCTGGGTTCAGTTCCCAGCATCCACATGGCAACTCACAGCTGTCTGTAACTCCAGTTCCAATTCCAGGGGACCGACGCCCATGGCAAAACACCAATGCACATAAATAAATAAACAAAACCCCTGCAATTAAAAAAAAAAAGTCACACAAGAAGTTATAATAGCCCACTGGGTTTCTTTAGTTTTTAAATTCTGTCTTCAGGAATGGAAATATTCTCCGGCCGTTAGAGTAGCTGCTAGCCGCGTGCACTTGAAAGAGGCTGGCTGGACCGAGGAACGGGGTTGCGCGTTCTCATCAGTTGAAGTTTTACACTCGGGTAGCTTCAGGAGCTGGTGGCTGCCGTGCTGCCCAGCGGGGGCCTGAGTGCCACTCGGCACAAATTACTTACATAGGTTAGAGCAGGTTTCTCAGGTCCTCTGTGAGTTGCTGCCTTATCATTGTGTATGGTCCTGTGGTTACGTGGTCTGCTTGTTCAACTTGACTTTAGAGAATCGTGTATTGACACGGAAACACATGCAGAGATGTAAGGGTCTATGGTAAAGCGGGCTTCCTAGACTCATGACCATGGAACATCGCCCCTTGGTCCCATGAGAACGTCTGATTTGTGGACTGTGATACAGGAAAGCCTGAGGCCGGAGGGACTTACTGCTGTGGTTTTTATTTTAGAGTAGTGTTGATAGAGGCTGGCTTCTAATTAGCACAGTATGCTCTGGCTGCGGCAGACTCCACTTGCTGAACAGCATGCACTCCGGTGTTTAGACAGTCCAGAAAGAATTATTCCTTCATACTCCGGAGCTATGATGGGCTTTAGGATGTGGGCCTTACAACTGTCCTGTGAAGTACTTATCTCTTTGTCAGAGGAAACACAGCCTCCTTCTCATCTACCCGTGTGTTTCCATACGTCAACCTCAGCCCTCCCCAACCTCTGCCTATTGGGGCCCTTGGAGGGCTGCCCCAAATCAGTTGGTGGGTGTTTGCTGATGCCCTTCCTCTTTGACCTCATGGGTTATTGTGTGTCTCACTGCCTTTTCTCTGTGTAGCCCTGGCCATCCCGGAACTCGCTCTGTAGACCAGGCTAGCCTGGAATTCAGAAGGCCACCTGCCTCTGTCTCCTGAGTGCTTGGATTAAAGGTGTGCGCCCCCACAGCCGGCTTGTTTTTGTTATTTCTATTAGGTTTCTGTGCGTGGGTATGTGCGTGTGAGCGCAGTGGCCTGCAGCTGGAGTTATAGGTGGTGGTAAGTTCCTGCTGTGAGGACTGGGACCTGTTGTGGGTGTGCAGCAAGAGCAGCATGCGCTCTAGTCTGTGAGCCAGTCCCCTTGTTTTCCCGTTATTCAATAGTTACCTAAACCGTATACAAACTCCTGGTGCCGCGCTAGGAAAGGATGGTTGGCACTTTAGCAAGGCCGTTCTGGTGGCCGTGTCGGAAGAAGGGGCAGTCTGTTCTGTTCTGTTCAGTGGGCTCGTGGGCGTGGTAAACCCCCATCCTCCCCATTCTTTTTTTTTTTTGTCTACCCAGATGAACTTTGCATCAGTGTCTTCCCAGGTAGAAATACTGACAGAACCGCAAAACCTGAACTAAAGCCAGTTCCTCCATGCTTCTCAGAGAAGTCAGATCCATTTGAATACGCATGAGGGTTCTGAGTGCCATGCGTTTACCATTCACCAGCCCTCCTTTGGAGTTCTCCTAAGAACTGAAATTTCCTGTGGGTTTATTTCAGATAAAGATTGTGTTTCAAGTACCTCTGCCAGCCTGAACAATCTTTAAATGTGAAGAAGGTGAGGTGAATGGGTACTCCATTTGGCTGGAAACAGGGATTCTGTAAATCGTGTGTGGAGGGACTGGCGGTCTCTGAGCAGCTCCCGGGCATTGGGTGTGCTGCTGACCCTAGGGGAGCGGGGGTAGGGAAGTGCCACTGTCCGAGTCTGCTTTTGGATTCTTTGACAGTATCTAATGAAAAATAGGCTACCGAGCTCAGGGCTCTGGAGCTGCCAATCTAAAAGCATCTCTAAGGGCCGGCCTGCCACATTCCCAGTGTGACAGGACGTCACCTGGTGCAATGGGGTTAGTATGCCAGAGAGCTTGCTTTTATAATAGAGATGCTCCCGGGACTCTGTTCATCCATAATCCCAATGCTCAGGACCCATCATTGGCCAAAGATCCTACCTCTTAAGTATCAGTGGCATATGACCTTGGGATTGCATTTCCAGGATATGGGGTTTGGGGTCATAGTGAAACCACATTAGCCACCCCATGCTTGCCATGAAGATTCCAAAATCACGGAAGCCTCACTGCTGGATTTTCAACTCTGAGAACTGTTGGAGTTAGTGTCTCTTCAAAACCTGTTATTTGCTACCTGCTCTAGGAAATCCCCGGAGAGACAGATCGCAAAGCAGTGTGTAGCTGTCTAGCGAGTCATCCTGAGTGCATGAAGTCTGTGATTGCCACAGCCAGATAGGAGGGCTTGAGGATGCAGAGAAGGGCCTGGCCCTGCGCTGGCTGGAACAGTATAACTCTAACCTCTGTGGTTATGGTTAATATTGTCAACTCAACAGGATCTGGAATCATCTAGAAGACAAGACTGGGTGTGCCTGTGAGGGACTATCTAAATTAGGTTAATTAAGGTGGGAAAACCCACATTACCTGGGTTCTAGACTGGATAAAAGGGAGACAAGCAGGCCAAGCACCAGCATTCGTCCCTCTCTGCTTCTGGACGGTGGACAAAATAGGCCCAGCTGCCTCAAGTTCCTCCCGCCATGATGGACCTGTACCCTCCCACGGGGCCGGAATAAACTCTCCCTTCATTTGCTCTTGTCAGCAATATGGAAAGTAATTCAACATTTCTAACCACATGGAAAGTAATTAATGGAACCTATTTGTCAGCGTGAACGAGAAATAATGATTCTAGGAAGTCTTAAAGCCCCTTGGAAGGACGTTCTGGGATGTGTGCAGTTTGTCCTGAGAGAATGATTTCTTTGGAGAATTTTCTCCCCCATCTGTGGATGGAAGTCAGTTGGTAGAGTACTTGCCTAGCATGCATGAAGCTCCAGGTTCGATCCCCAGCACCCTGTAAAATTGGGGAGTATGGTGCACATTTGTAATCCCAGCACTTAGGGTGGAGTTAGGAGAATGAGAAATTCAGTGTCTTCCTTTGCTGTAAGGACTGTTAGGGACTATCCTGGCCTCCGTGAGACCCTGTCTCAAAATGCCTACCCCCCAAAAACAAAACAAAAAACAGTCTTGTCGGGCAGGAGAGATGGCTCAGTGGTTAAGAGCACTGACTGCTCTTTCAGAGATCCTGAGTTCAATTCCCAGTAACCACACAGTGGCTCACAGCCACCTATAAAGAGATCTGGTGCCCTCTTCTGGCAAGTAGAACACTGTATACATAATAAATAAATCTTTAAAAAAAAAAAAGAAAGAAACCAGTATTGTCTAGAGATAGGAGGATCTCTCAAGTTCCCAGCCTGCCTGGGCCAGGCTACTTAGCAAGACCCTATCAAAGAAAAAAATAGCCAGGGATGGTGGCCAGCACTCAGGACACAGAGGCAGGAGGATCGCTGAGTGTGAGTTGTAATCTATGTAGGGAGTTCCAGGCCAGCCAGGGCTATATAGTGAGATCCTATCTCAAAAAAGTCTCCCCCGCCGGGCGGTGGTGGCGCACGCCTTTAATCCCAGCACTTGGGAGGCAGAGGCAGGCGGATCCCTGTGAGTTCGAGGCCAGCCTGGGCTACAGAGCGAGATCCAGGAAAGGCGCAAAGCTACACAGAGAAACCCTGTCTCGAAAAACCAAAAAAAAAAAAAAAAAAAGTCTCCCCCAAGTATAATAGATTTGTTTTTATTTATTTTAAAATGCATCTTTAAAACCAAGGGTGGTGGCACATGCCCCTTAACTCCGGCACTAAAGTAGATTGCAAGTCTCCGATCAGCCTGGCTACATAATGAAGTCTCCATGAGAAAAGCAAAACACGAAGCCACACATGTGTGCATGTGTAAAATGTCTGAGAGGTTAGCCTAGTTTGAGACCTGTGGGCTTCGGCATATTACATCTCAGGATCAGCAGAAATGCATTGTGGGGGTTTGCTGACTTCGGAGCCCCCCAGGCCTCAACAGCAGGTGTCACTCTTCTGAGATTGGGTGACCTGTGGGCAGCCCTCCGTGGGCAGCCCCTCCGTGGGCTTCCTGGTGAGGTCCTGAGTGCGCACGCTTACTTGAATGTGTTTCCACTAGGGGAGAAGCCCTTTACCTGCAGCTGGGACGGCTGTGACAAGAAGTTCGCCAGGTCCGATGAACTGTCTCGTCACCGCAGAACTCACACGGGGGGAGAAGAAGTTCGTGTGTCCTGTGTGTGACCGGCGCTTCATGCGGAGCGACCACCTGACAAAGCACGCCCGACGCCACATGACGACCAAGAAGATCCCCGGCTGGCAGGCAGAGGTGGGCAAACTGAACAGAATCACCCTGGCGGAGAGCTCCGGGAGCATCCTCGAGCCCTTGCCGGCCTCGGGCTGAGAGGTTCTGCGGCGCCCATCACTGTGGGCCTCCTCTTCCACCTCTTCAGGAATGGGGAGTGGGACCCGTGTGTTCCTCCCCAAAAGCAAAAACAAAACAAACAAAAACATGGTCTCTGGGCTGTCGAAGTGGGGAGCTGGTTCTGATGGAAGTACGTTAACTTTCCTTTTCTGGTTGGGACCCTATTCAGTGTCTCTTGTATGTATCTCTCTCTCTCTCTCTCTCTCTCTCTCTCTCTCGTAAGGAAATGGAAGGAAATTTGATCTAAATCACCAGCATTCAAACAAATATTTCGGCAATAAAGTTTACAGAGTCTGGATTTTTTTTTCTTTTTACAACCTTTCTAGTCTGTGTTTTGTAGAAATGAGACAGGGTACTAATTTTTATACTTTTTTATAAAAATATTTATATTGTGCTCAAATCACCAATTTCTGGACAGACAGTTTTACAACCTTCTTTTCCATGTTTTATAATGAAGTTTTATAATGACTCTGCTTAAGTACTCTTGGTAGTTAGTCAGAAAAAAAATCAAAATCACAAATTTGTTACCGGCCTTTCCTAGCCAATATTTTAGGTCAGAACTGGTTGAATAAAGAGCTCTTAAAGGGGGAAAAAAAAAACTAGTCAGCTTCTTTGTGTCAGTTCCAGGGGAGAGTCTAAGAGCAATCCTGTAGCCCACAGAACTAAAATCGTGGTTGGGTAGAATTCGTCACGTGTGTCTGATGTCCCTGGGGAGGGTGTGCCGAGTCTGCGTGGACTGCCGGCCAGCTAAGCAGGGGCCAGTGTGCACTGTGTTGACTTTGGGGCCACTCGTCTGCCGAGAGCCAAGGATCCTGTGGCCTGTCTGTATTTAAGCACCAAAAAACCAGGATTTGGACACCAAAGCTTTGTAGATGGTCCGTTGGCTTCTGGTGTGGTCTTGTACTGCATGATGGGTTCAGTGACCATGGAGAGAAGAGCAGATGTCTATATTGGTTGATAAACTTCCCATCAAAGTGCACCCTACGCAAAGCGAGGCACACGTGCACCGTGGGCCCTGGGGTTCAGATGCCTTCCTTAATTACGGACAAAACACTGAGGCACTCCGTGGATGCCACTCAGCTGCCCTTCCGTTCATTGTGTGTGAAGGAAATTATTTTGCTCAAACAAGACTTGGAATGGGGATTTTGTAGCTAACTTGAAAACAGATCACAGGTGCTGCTTTGATGCCTTGTGAGCATGTACCCTGCATATAGAGGCCTCCTGTGCGTCCCAATGACCACAAAAACTGGCTGTAGTTAGATGTTGGGAAGTTCAGGCAGTGCAGTGAGAACGATATATTGCACTGTTTGGGCAGCCTGAAGAGTATTTTTGTGTGTTACTGTATTAGATTTTTCATTTGCCTTTTAATACTGGCACTTAACTTTATTTAAATGATGGCAAGGTTGAACTATGAAATAGTAAGATAAAAATGAGGTTTTGTATTGGGGTCCCCGAGGCTTATAGAACCTTCACGTGGTCATACATTGTTATGTTACTTGATCCCTGTTAAGCTGCCTCTGGTAGCCTCCGAGCTTTGTATGTATGTGTGTTTAGGAAGTGTTGGGATAGCTCTCCAGGTAATCATCACCGTTGTCTTTCAACATAAAGTAGCCGCAGGAGAAACTAGCTGTACATAGCTCACGAGTGCCCCGGTGGTACCCGGGTCCTGTCCTCCACACTGGTGATTGTGCTGAGGGTAATCCAGTGTGAATGTCTTTCTTCATTGTGACATGCAGAGTGATGGTCCCTGTCCTGGTGTTCCTGTGGGTCACGGAAGGTCTTGGAGTGTTCGGTTGCTCATCCCTAGGACTTCATCCTCTGACCAGTGTTGTTTCTAGAGTAACTGACGTGTTGAAATACCTTTAGGGTTCCATTTCCTGAGTAGATTTAGAAACCCCGTCTGTGAAAGACCCCCACCATTTGTCCACCGAAAGACTATGTTGGAAAACATTTCCTATCTGAAAAGGACTCCTGAGCCCCAGAGCCCCAAGGGAGGGGGGACTGCTCCCTTGGGGGCCCTCCCTGACCCCCCCATGGTGAGGCAGTACCCCCAGTGCACTTTATTGCTTGAGCAATTCTGCTTGATTTGATTTTTTTTTTTACTTTATTGAGCCTTTCGGTAGTTTTAGTCATAAAAATTTAAATGTTTTGAATACTTGTGTTTTATGTAACAGACTTTGACTTATTTAAATGAGTATGTGTAATGTAACCTTTTGCTTTGAATCATATAAAACTTTCTTGGTTTGCAGACTGGACTTGTGTGCTGTGTTTGTATGACTGTGTCCAGTGACCTAACGCACACGGTTTGCATATGAGTCTGGAATAGTCGTCATGTGTCGGTCGGCCTAACTTGAACTTTTATTTGGGGGAGGGGGGCGTCAAGACTGTTTCGGAGGAAGCAATACAGTGGCAGAGAGGTCAACTCGTAAGAATTCTTGCAGGCAAGTTGTGGCAGTTTGAACCTAATAACAGTTGTAATGGGACTTCCACTTTTACCTAACAGAGTAGTGGAGACCAGCTTCCATCTCCACAGGTACAACCAGCTCCCATCCACAGCCAGGGGGTCAGGACAGAGATTCCCCGTGTGTTCTCCCTCCCCGCCTCTTGGCATCCGGCTGGACTTTGCAATGCAGAGCATTCATCATTCCGGCCCCGCAGTAACCTTGGGAGGCAGGCGAGATGGGCACCAGTGCCCCTGAGACAGCAGGACCTGAGTCCCAGAGACCATGTGCTGGGGAGCAGGGTGAGGTCCCCCCTGTTGCTCGTGGTCTTTTGTAGACAAAGACTGACCTGGGTCATCTGATAACCTGGGGTCAGATGGATGTGAATCCAGACATCCACCCTTCCTAGTGAGATGAGTGACTTACCCCTCCATTTGTGCCTCCCAGACACGTAGTCTGCCTCCCACCCCCACCCCCCCCCCACCCACCCCCACCCCCGCTTTATTCATCCAGGGCCTGGCTGCACAAAGCCTGGCACGGACTGTGCCCTCTTTTGTCTGCCGTAGAAGCCCTACCCAAGAGGAATGGCTCTTGCGGTCATCTGTGCATTGCTAACTAAAGGAATCCACAGGGTGATACTCTCCACATTCACCCAGATGCCGTCCTGGCAGATGGAGGAGAAGCGGATACGGTCCCTCCTTCCCCTGGTGGCAGTCTCCCTCTCCAACGCGGTAGCCTAACCTGCAGGACTTCCGGGGGGGGGGGGGGGGGGGGGGCAGAGCAGTCATCCAGCCTGCCACTGCTTCTCATGACCACACGATGTCACTGTTGAGAGTTGAAACCGGCCTTGGGACGTCAAACCCGTCCGTCTTCCCTAGTACCCCAGGCAACCAACCACACAGTTTCTGGATGTGTAGTTTTAGGGCTCACCCTTCTAGTCTCCTCTGAAGCCCCATCCTGAGGCACCAACAACTTCAGGGTGCAAACTACGGGCCAAATACCTCTGGGGGCTCAAGTGCTTCTCTGTCTTTCCCAAGGCTTCGTGCCCCAGAGAGGGCAGCGCTTCCTTGCCGACACTGGAAAGGGTTTCTCTGTGTAGCTCTGCCTGTCCTGGAACTCAATCTGTAGATTAGGCTGGCTTCGAACTCAGCCAGAGTTCGAACCCGCCTTCCTCTGTCTCTTGAATACTAGGATTAAAGGTGTGTGCCCGCAAAAAGAAGGATTTCTTTACACCAGGAACGTTCCTTCCTACTTCTTTTTTTTTTTAATATTTATTTATTTATTATGTATACAATGTTCTGCCTGCATGTATACCTGCGCGCCAGAAGAGGGCACCAGATCTCATTATAGATGGTTGTGAGCCACCATGTGGTTGCTGGGAATTGAACTCAGGACCTCTGCAAGAGCAGCCAGTGCTCTTAACCTCTGAGCTATCTCTCCAGCCCCCTCCTTCCTACTTCTTAAGGCCTAAGTTTTCTCCAGGGTTCAGGCCAGCCCCTCAAAGAAGGTCTAATTATGGAGCCTGCTTCCTAGAGGAAGCAACTCACCTTCTGAGTCTAGTAGGTGATTTATGGGTTAGCAGGAGGGCTCAGTGGGGGAAGGAACCTGTCACCAAGCCTGTTTGCTCACAGGAATCCATAGTGGAAAAAGAGAAGTACCTTCTGCAAATTGTCCTCTGACTTCCACACATGTGCACCACGGCATGCACACTCATGTACTATACATGCACACAGACACACGTGCATGTGTGCACGCAAAATGTAATAAAAAATACTTTAAAATAAAATGGGGGTTCTGCTCTTTAATGCTCAGAATCACCCAAGGACACCTTCCCCCTATGTACATGTTTACGGGGAGAGAGGGGGAGGGGAGAGTGTATGTGCTGTGAGTGCATGTGTGCCGTGGCATCCATGCATTGGGAATCAGGGCCACCTGCAGCAGGTGGATCTTTCCTTCTGCCACTCCTCTGTGCCCTCTGGGGGTGGAACTCAAGAGGCCAGGCTTGGTACCAAGTGCTTTTACCTGCCGAGCATCACCTTGGCCCTTTAAAAAAAAAATTATTACATTTTATTTCTGTCCAACTCTTGACAGGAGGAAAAATACCCCCAGGGACCTGACACTCAACTGCTGGCCTCCTGGCTACTGCTGAGAGTCTCTCGGTCTCCAGAGTGCAACCCAGTGAGTGGGGGGGGAGCCTCTGTCAGGGGACAGTGACATTCATTCATGAATCCCAGAATCTACCAGGGGTAGGGTAGGACTCCCAGGCAGGGGCCTGGGCATCATTCCAGGAAATAAACTGGCTCTGGGAATTGGAAACATCAGAAAAGAGGGTGCTAAAAGCTTGTTCCAGAGCTGGGCAGTGGTGGTGCATGCCTTTAATCCCAGCACTCGGGAGGCAGAGGCAGGTGGATCTCTGAGGCCAGCCTGGTCTCCAAAGCAAATTCCAGGAAAGGTGCAAAGCTACACAGAGAAACCCTGTCTCGAAAAACCAAAAAAAAAAAAAAAAAAAAAAAAAGCTTGTTCCAGGTAGTGTTGGCCAATCCCTGCTAGTGTGGGAGGTCCCTTCCAAGCTGAGCCAAGACCCCCCATGAACACAAACCCTGGGGGTTTCTCAAAGCTCTGCCCCCTTTGTCCAGAAAGCCTACCCATGATTTCTGACTGGAAGGGCTCAGAGTTTTCTCAAGCACAGCCTTGGCACATCTAGGAAGAAATCTGCTTGCCGAGTCGGTGGCCGTCTGTGGTTACTTAGACATTCTGTCGTGAGAACCAGGGTCAGCTCATGCTGTGTGGGGGCAGATCCCACCCTCTGCTTAGAGCTGGGCTCGTGGCTGGGAAAACAACATGGGCAGCCAACCATGAAGCAGCTGTGCAGGATGGGACATAGGTGTGTACCTGGCACCCGGGCGGTGCAGGAAGTGCTCCAGTGGGCTGCAGTGTACCCAACCCCACCCCTTGCAGGACCAGCCTCTCCAGAGCCTGAGTTTCCCCGGGACCACAGCTCCCTTTGGTTGGCACATACTTGCTCTGGCTAGCCACTGCTCAGGACATCCTTGGAATTGAGGGATGTACGTTTGTTTGTTTGTTTGTTTGTTTGTTTTCTGAGACAGGGTTTCTCTGTATAGTCCTGGATCTCACTCTGTAGACCAAGCTGGCCTCGAACTCACGGAGATCCACCTGCCTCTGTCTCCCAAGTGCTGGGATTAAAGGTGTGCACCACCACCGCCTGACCCCCACCATTCTCTTAATCCAATGAATTATGTGAATTATGAATTGAATGTGCCTATTCAAACACAACGTGTAAGCTGTAAATATTTGCAACATCAAGTTCACAGCCTGATTCATTCTTCGGTAAAAATGTAACATTTTAACCTCTTTTAAAACAAGCATTTGTAATATTTGGGTTAACATATTAAAATACAAACAACTCTCATCTTCTTATCAAAAGCAGTGCTTTGAGCTTGGGTGCGATGCGGCTTCCCGCTCTGGGAGATTTTGACCTCATGCTCAGCCAGCTGGTAGGACACCCCATGGCTCTGGGCTCCAACCGTAGCACGAGTCTCCCAGCTTCGAACTCAAAGGCACTCTTGTCAAGTCGTAACCGTTCGTGGAATCTTTTGCAGGTAACAGCACAGGACTATGGGTGTGGGGACAGTCCTGGGTGACCATCCTTCCTTGGCTAGTCCAGGCTGAGCTCTGAGAAGTCTCAGGCTGGTAGCAGTCCTCAGGAGAGGTGTGATAACCGGGGGAGGGCCGCTGTTTGGCAGGGGGAATGTAACATAAACTGAGGCCTGTTGTGGCCTCAGCCAAAGCTGCCCCCATCCCCTCCTTCTCTACTGTTTTCTGACACGGAATCTCACTAAGCGGTTTGGGCTGGTCTTGCATTCACCATGTAGCCTTCAGTTCTCAATAGTCCTCTAGCCTTGGCCTGATGCCTGCTGTGATGGTAAGCGTGCGCCACCACTCACAGATCTGTGAACCCTTCGTGCCGCACCCTCGACTGCTGCCCCGGTACATCCACACACCCTACAGGACCCACACAAGCCCTCCCCTCCTTCCCATAGACTCTGTATTTCCCATCTGTCCACTGGGAATGTTTGAAGGCTCTTCTGGCCTCATTACTGTGTCTGCCTTCCACCCGAGCAGGGAGGAGGAGAAGAGGTCCACAGCCAGACTGCCAGCCAAAGGGAAACTGGAGAGCAGTTGCCATAAAGACCTATCTCGAGTGGGCTTGCTCTCCGAGCTCCCGTAATCCGAGTGATTCTGCACTCAGCAGGATGGAGAAGGCACAGTGGCAGCTGGGAGATGAAGGGCTGGGAGACAGAGCTGCCCGACGGGGTCTTCAAGAACCTCAAGGATTCTCCCCCAGAGAGAAACTGAGGCCCAGAGAGAGAATCGATGAGCTCTGCATCCCATCACAAGCTCACGTAATACTGGGATGCCAGAGCAGTCTGTGGATCCTGGCCCACGCTCTCTTCCTACCACATCCAAGCAGGGGAGGCTGGTGTGCTGTTGGAGGAGCCTCCAGCCTGAGGAAGGGCGGAGCCGAGGGACAGTCTGAAATGCAGGCACTCGGTCCTTGCACCTGCAGATTGCCCTGACCGCTACGCTGTTGGAAATGCAGTCTCTGGATCCACCTAGACCTCGGTGCTTGGGATCTGCCTGTCAGCCATATACTCAGGCCCTTTTGTGAGCAAGTGGAAACTGATATACATGGAGTCCACTGTTTCCCTCTGGAGAACTCTTCATGCGAAGACCAAGAGCATACCTTGGTAGAAACTTCTAGAAGCCTGTGGCACACACAGATACCAAGAGGG